ATAAATGAATTCTGTGTTCCGACTTGGGAGGGGACCCATCCCCTAAATGTGTTATGTTTAGGGAAGATGTTCAAAAATATGGAATCAAAATACTTCTGGTTCCAAACATTTCACATAGAGTTAGTCTACCTGTGGTGGTTTGGCTGTTATTTGCTATTTTGTTTATCTAGTGTATAATATTTTTTGAAAGTGAAAAGCATTTAGTTTTTTCTTAAAAAAAATTAGAAGTATTTGGAATGAATTTTCTTCAAATTTTTAGTATCTTGAATATTTGAGAGTATATTTACATGTTGAGCATTAGGGGCTGTTCTTCCCCATCTTAAAAAGAAAGATATTTGCTCTTTTCTTCCTGTGATGTTTATTGTAGCAAAGTTGTATTACTTGAACTATTCATACTAGATATAGTTTGATCACTGCTTTTTAAAGTTGTTTTTTGTTTGTTTTAAGAGAGAATTTTAATATTTATCTTTTTAGTTTTGGGTGGACACAACATCTTTGTTATGTGGCACTGAGAATTGAACCTGGGCCGCACGCATGCCAGGCGCACTACCGCTTGAGCTACATCCCCAGCCCTAAAGTTTGTTTTTTGTTTTTACTTTTGATTTTCAGGGTGCCAGATCCATTTCTTAATGTTGAATTAAGAATTTACTATTAGGACTTTTTCTGTAAATCCAGAACACACTCATCAATTCTAATGACTTGTAATATTTATATAGTGATAATGTTTATTTTTAGCCTGTCCTCCCCAACCTAAAGTGTATATGTACTTTTCGAATTAACTCTTCACTTGGCTGTCTTTCAGTGTTATCTCTATTTAAGCTACACAAGAAGTTGAACATTTTACTTAGGGCTGATTTCATGCTTTCTTTGTGCAGGCCAATAAATCTTAYGGGCAACATCATCCCTTACTCTTTCCCTGTCGAGGCCATCAACAAAAATAGTTCAAGGCCAGGCATGGTGGTGCATACCTATAATCCCAATATTGTTGAATTGTATAGTTTCTTAAATATTTTATTGATCAAATTGTTTTGGGGGGCAAAACTATTAAATAGGTATATTTTTAAAAATTGTTAGCTGTTTAATATCCATCTGTTAATGTGATGAAGATGGCAGTTCTTTGGAGGCTAGTAAAGTTTAAATTCATATCCTCTGTTGACTCCTGTCTCTAGAACCAGTTTTGCAAAAGAAAATAAGTTTAGAACATATCCTGTTAAATGGAGAATAGTCTCATTTTTTTTTTAAGTGTAGGAATTACTATTTTAGCCCAGATGCTTTAACATTTGCATTCAGAATGCTTTTCTTTGGTTTTGTTATAGAAAAAAAATCTTTGCCATTCTATAATTAGTCTTCATTCTTATCAATGTTTCACCCAGTTTGAATTTTATATTGTAAGCGATCTCAATTTTATTTGCATACTGGTATAGAATACAAACTTAACCAGTTAAAATAGGAACTCCAACAATAGAGCTTTCCCATAAATTGAAATATTTAAAGCACAGTTATAGACTTGTATTCTCTTGAATCTTTTATTTAGTTTCTCAGTTTTGTAAGGAAAAATTTGAAACATCTTCTAGTTTTGAAGCTTTCTTCAATTATTCCAATTTGCTACATGCTTAAAAGTGGGGTTTTTTATATCAAGTTTATTGAGTGCCTATTTTAAAGATTGCCAACAGATACTGAAAAAACATAAAATTAATCCTCTAAATTTTTCTCCCCCTAAAGTCAGTGCCAGAATGGGTGGGGCCTTTATGTCTATTTATATAGGAGTTCTTCAAACAACTGAAACTGATAGGATTTGTATTCACCAGCAGATTTTCACATATTTTATGGTGTACTCATTCAGTATATATTAAATTGTGAATTTTTGGCAAGCATTGCATTTCTTCTTGTTGGTATGTACCACCCCTAATCCCATGAATAATAATTCTGAAATTTCTTAATTTAAGAGAATATCTAAATTTTTTTAAAAAATGTTAAATTTGCATTATAATTGATTCACAATAAAATTAGGGGTTTTTGTTTTTGTTTGGTAGTAAAAAATTGAATCCTGTACCACTGGCTACATCCCCAACCCTTTAAGTTATTTGTATAGCTGTTCTACAGATATAGTCAACATAGCAGCCATAGTTTTATATATATATGATCACAATTAAGGAATACAGAATTGTAGGGTTTCTTATTTGTTTTGTGGGGGTTTCTTTGAACTCGGCTCTCTCCAGCTGAGCTACATCCCAATCCTTTTTATTTTGAGACATTGTCTAAGTTCCCTGCCTCAGCCTCCCAAATTGCTGGAATTACAAGCCTGCACCACCAAGCCTGTTTTAGAGTTACATTATTACTGGAACAATGAAATAGTTGTTATACTGAGCAAGAGCTTTGACTAGTCAGGCGGGCTGGCTGCCCACCCTCTCATTTATTCCCATGTTTACTCATAACCCTGCCAACTCTCCGTTCAGAGGCCACTACCTAGCATACCTGACTGGTATTAAACTCAAAGTTTAATACCAGCAGAAAAAATAGCAGTGTCATACTTCCATTTACCAAAGGCTGGAGGAGTGGGCTGATAAGTCCTTTGTAAGTGGGTCTACTTTGTTATCAGTGAGCCCTGTATTCTGYCCTTAAAAAGGAGGAAGTGTTTATCTTTAATCTGAAATAACCAGGAAAAGAAGTTTTCTAATCTTGCACATTTGAGCTTATGTTAGAACTCTGGCCATTGAGAATCTTCTAGTGGATGAAGACAAGGCAGAATCTATAGGACTGCAAAGTGAATATCTACTAAACTCACTCTGGCTTATTTGAATGTAGCTAATAGCTATGTTAAAAAAGAAAATCTAGAACAAAATGTAAACCAGATGGCTTAAAGCATTGATCACATGGTAAAACTTTCACATCTGAGGGCTAGGAATCATTTTTTTATATGTCTAGTACGTGGGGTTATAATAAATACAGGGCTGGATGTACAAGTGTTTTATCAAAGATCAGAGTTGGGAAAAATATATAACCAATATGTATATTTATTTCCATGCAGTTTGATTCCTGACCTTAGTGAATAAATTTTTCTGATAGATTAAGTGAAAGAGAAGATTAAACATTTAAGAGTTGTGAATGTATCAATAACATTAAATTGTTGCAGTGGACAGATTATTCTTTATCTTTTAAAATTAGGTGTTGTGTGTGGTGGTGTGCCACTGGAATCCCAGCTACTACTTGGGAGGCTTAGGAAGGCTTGAAGAGGCTCTGTGAGCAACATTAATCCACTGCAACCCTCTTTAAAAAAAAAAAATTCCTTTGGACTGAGGATATATTTAGTTCCTTACAGAATTTTAGTGTCATACAAAATTTGAAAGTACTTAAAAATATTAATGGAAGTGCTTTCCTAGGAGGTGTGAGGCCCTGGGTTCAATCCCCAGCACAAAGAAAAAAAAAAATTAGGAACTTCTTTTGCTTTCTAGTTCTTTAGGTTTTTGTTGTTGTTGTTGTTGTCTTTTTGTTGGCTCCTGACCTTGTCCTTTTTTTTTTTTTTTAAATTTTTTAGTTGAACCACAATATCATCTTTATTTTAATGTGGTGCTGAGGATCAAACCCAGGGCCTCACACATGCTAGAGAAGTAGTTATTCTAGAGAGAATTTTAGGAATAGTTAAAAGGTTAATGTAATGAGCGTGCACGGTGGCATATTACCTGTGATCCCATGGGACTTGGAAAGCTGAGGCAGGAGGATCTCAAGTTCAAAGCCAGGCACTAAGCAACTTGGTGAAACCCTATCTCTAAATAGAATTCAAAATAGGGCTAGGGATGTGGCTCAGTGGTTGGAATGTCCCTGAGATCCATCCCTGGTACCCTTCACCCTCTAAAAGGGGCGGTGGGTGAAGGTAATGAGATTCAACCTGAGGATACTTAGCCCTGTGAGGGTTGTGGAGTTTTTTCAGTTGGGTTTTTTTGGGGGGTCTGGGGGAGGTTTAGATTTGAACCCAAGGTCTTGTGCATGACGAGTGCTCTTCACATCCTATCCCTTAATTTATTTTCAGAAATGCTAAGTTTCCTGGACTGGCCTTGAACTTGGCAATCATCCTGCTTTAACCTCTCAAGTATTTGAGATTATGGGTTTGTACCACCAGACCTGACTTTTGTGAGATTTTTAAAGTGGAAAATGGAGTTGGTGGATTTTGTAGATGCAAGTGTGGTTCAGGAAGAACTGTGGATTTAATACAAATAAAAGGGCCTCTGATCTGGTCTTGATGTTCAGTTCTGCTTTGTCTGGGTTCTTAAAGCTGTTAAGAGATTTGTAAGAAATCAGCTTTGGGGGCTGGGGATGTGTGGCTCAAATGGTAGCACACTCGCCTGGCATGTGTAGGGCATTGGGTTATGTGGTTCGATTCTCAGCACCACATAAAAATAAAGATATTGTGTTCACCTAAAACTAAAAAAAAAAAAAATCAGCTTTTGTTTAACAAAAATTTTAGGGGCTGGGGTTGTGGCTCAGTGGTAGAGTGCTTGCCTCACATGTGTGAGGCACTGGGTTCAATTCTCAGCACCACATATAAATAAATGAGTAAATTAAAGGTCCATCAACACTAAAAAATATTTTTTAAAAATTTTATATCGGTATATAATACTTTTATGAACCCTAACCAAGATGTTTCAGCATGTGTCTGTTAAATAAATATGCTTACCATGTTCTAGGAATCAGACTTAAGGTTACTTATGTTTTATTTCTCCTAATAGACTAGTATTTGATAATTGTGATTGCATTGTCTTAAAAGAATGGCCTCACCAAGAAATCAGCGATGGTGACATATGCTGGTAATTCCAGTGTTCTGGAGTCTGAAGCAGGAGGACTGGGAGTTCTTTGCCACTGAAGAAATTTAGGAGAACTTGTGTGAAAATAAAATTTTAAAATAAGTTGGAATTGGGGGCGTGGAATTTAACTCAGAGGTATACCACGCCTGGATTCAGTCTCCTTAAATTAAAATTACATGACCATTTTCTGTTTTGGTGTAGGAACTTAGTGATTTGGCCCGTGACCCTCCAGCACAATGTTCTGCAGGTCCAGTTGGGGATGATAGTAAGTAATTTCTAAATTAATTTTTTTTTAATATGACTAACTTCAAAAAAGCTTTTGTATTTTGGGATGATGCTAAAGAGTTTTTTTCTCCCCCCTTTTTCTAGTGTTTCATTGGCAAGCCACAATTATGGGACCTGTAAGTATTAAGACTTTTAAAGTTTTGCTTATAATTGAAAATTCAGCATCAGTCTGATTATAAATTTTTAAATTTAGTTCATAGGTTTATTTTATTATGTAGTGTATTCTGGTTTGGTTATACCATAATTGTACTACTTTTGAAAGAAATAGAATATTGTACTTGTTACATGTACATTGTGTATCCCTGTGTTCCGTTTTGTAGAGTATAGCATCTCTTTGGATCTACCAAATCTCTCTCTGCCTTAATTTCAGTTTTCCTTCATAGCAATGTGAAGCACTGGCATTGAACTTCTTATTAGACAATTTACTGGCTCTGTTTCTATTATGAATTGTTACTCAAAGATCTTACCCTGTTCCTGTAGTTGCCAGGAATCTAGCTTACTTGTATTATTTTTATATTCAATTTCTTACAGAATTTTAGTCTCATACAAATTTGAAAATATTAGGCAGAAAGTGATATTCTGAATATAGCAAAATTCCTTTCTATCCTGATAAGAATCTATAGGCTGGATAATTGAATATTCAGAATTATGGATACCATCTAAGAATTTCAGAATATTAAAGCGCACTAAAACATCCTGGGTTAAGATTAAGATTGTATCTTCCACAAATTCTTAACATTTTTCCCCCTTAACGTAGAAGGAACTTTCTAAGTTTCTTGTATATTATACTGAAAACTTTCTGCTTCCATTTCCTTTTTCTAGTTTTATTTAACACCAGTAATATGCTAGATGGGAAAATGGTCATTAAACATATATATAAGTTTCTATGTAAGCAGCACACAAATTTAGATGTCAGCTAACTGTATCTTTAGAGTGGAATGCATCAGTGCCTTGTTTTGGTTTCTGAATGCATCTTATGACAGAGTATCACATTATAATGTAAATAATATCTTATTTTTTGACTACGATTACCCTATATGGTTTGTATTTGTGAACCATAACAATAAAGCAGGCAGTGTGGTAGCATAGTAATCCACAAATTGTGGATTTGCTTGGGAGAACTAGATAGTAGCAAAATCACATTTGCTTCAGAGTACTATTTAGGTCAGTTAAGGTAATGGTAGTATCATAGAACTAAAGATTTCTTTCTCAGTAATGTAGCATGTAATTTAAGTTTCAGTAAAGAGTAGCTGCTGAATTTTAGTCAAGTGCTCTGTATCATTAGAAGTTATATGGC